CTCTTCTCTGAGTCACTCTTCCCAATTTCCTGCCATTAGTGCTAATAGGTGCCCTTGCTTATGTTTCACAGAGCTCTGTGAAATCTTCCCAGCTTCTGCTGGGAATGAGAGCAGCTTGGCTTTTCTGAGGAGGAGGGAATTTCTCAGAGCTGCCAGAAGCTCTGCAGAGCACTTGAGCTGTTGCTGCTCACAAGAAACGGGAAAAGGTCACAGAAAACAACATTTTCCTCTGCAAATAAGTAATAAAGTGGGGAAATTCTTAGGGATGTGTCCAAGGAGGGCTGGAGCAGCTGAGGGAGCTGGGGAGGGTCTGGAGCCCCAGGAGAGGATGAGGAGCTGGGAAGGGGCTCAGCCTGGAGAAGAGGAGCCTCAGGGAGGCTCCTGTAGCTCTGCACAGCTCCTGCCAGGAGGGATTTGGGATCTGCTCCCAGGGAACAGGGATAGAGACAGGAGGAGAGGGAACGGCCCCACAGGAGGTTCAGGTGGGATATTGGAAAACAGATTTTCCCTGGAAAGGTGGTGAGGCACTGGAATAAGTTGCCCAGGGAGGTGTTGGAGTGGCTCCATCTGGAAGTGTTCCAGCCTTTCCTCCTTTCTCATTGCCCAGAGAAGCTGGGGCTGCCCCTGGATCCCTGGCAGTGTCCCAGGGCCAGGCTGGAGAACCTGGGACAGTGGGAGGTGTCCCTGCCCCTGCTGGGGGGGAATGGGATGAATTTAAATCTCCCTTCCAACCCAAAGCACTCCATGGTTTTGTGTGAAGCAGGAGCCCATCTGTTCCTCCTGGAAGAGCCAGACCTGAGGTTGTCACTTTTTTTTTTGGTGGCTGTCACCCTGTCTGAGTCAGTGCCTCTCCCTGTGAAGTTCTCTTGGATTTTAAGAAGAATCCAGTTGGAATCCCAGCTCCCAAGTCCCTTTCCTTAGAAAAGCTTCTGCAGTAATTCACAATTCAGGTGCCTGGGGTTTATCTTCTGTTGGGAGGAAAGCTCCTGCTCCGGGGCTGTGGTGGGAGTGAGGAAGAAGCAGGTGTGGGACTGTGGGATGTGCTGTTTTTGGGATTTCAGGGGGATTTGTTTGGGGTTTCACTCTGTGCTTGTGTCCTGCCTCCAAGAAAAGGGAGAGGAGCTGGATTTGGAGGCTGAGAGGAGCTGGATCATCAGCTCAGCTTCCCAAAACTGCTGTTCATCCAGGGAGTGGGAAATCGGGATTGGGAGCCAGCCTTGGCTGTGGCTGTGGGACAGGGGGATCTTCAGGGCATCAATCTGCTCCTCACATCCCCTGGAGCTTTAACCCTGCCCATGGAGAAGGCCAAATGTGTGGGAAAACCCAGGATGGAACGTGGGTCTCGCATTCCAAACCCTCCCAAATTTGCAGGTGAGGATGTGTTTTAGGAATTGCTGCGAATAGTGGATTTCACACTGGATGAGCTGGGCAGGAAAATCAGGAAAAGCATCCATGGGATTTTATCCTCACTGTCAGCTGCTTCTTGAGAACCCTTTCATTCATAGTCTGGCTGGATCCCTCTGGAATTGCTGGAGTGTTTTCCTACCAGTTTTGAAGCACGTGGTCATGGAAAACAAAAATCTTCGGTGGAAGCTTGGTGTAAAAAGAAAATTCATATTCTACTTGGGATATATTCCAGGAAAATGGATCAGACCCAACTGCAGCACTGATTTTTCTTCACAATTTATTTACAAATGCAACGCTTTGCTGCTGTTCAGCATTCCCTGATCCCAAACCCAACCAATCCTCTGGGATACAGGGTTTTTTTGAGGATTTGGGTACTGGAACTGTAATAAAAGTCTGCATCAATGAGAAAGTCTTCATGAGGAAAAAATTCCCAGGAAGCCTCTTTGGAATGTTTTCCTCTGGTTTATTCTCCCCTTAAATGTTCATCCCAGGTGTCAGATTTTTCTGGGAAGGCACAGGAAGGAATGAGTCAGATTTTAATGGGAATTTAGTCATGACTAAAGGAAGTGTTGGGTTTTCTTCAGGCCTCAGAACTGCAATTCCCACAGAAAAAAAAGCTGGATCTTACCATTATCCATATTCTGCTTAAATTAACTTTGACAAATCAATAAATACTTGTAAAGTTGGGGTGTGAGAGGGGTCAGATTTTCACAGAAATTATCTTCCAGCCAGCCTGGCCCATCCCTCCATGTCCCATTTCCCGCTGTCCACCTGGTCCTGGAGTTCAGCAAAATTTGGGAAATATTCTTAAACTCTCATTCCTTTGGATTTTTTCTCCAAAGAATGTGTGGATTGAGGTTTACTGGAGAATGTGGAGGTGGTGCTGGCTGGAATTGATGATCTTAAAGGTCTTTTCCTGGCCTTGATTTTTCCATGAGTCTCAAGAGTTTCTCTGGATATTTATTTATGTGGGTGCTCCTTTATTTTGTCTTTCCTTGTGAAATTCCACATTTTCAGGAAGCAGCTCCAGTTTGTGTTGGGATCCCAGTCCCTGCAGATCAGGGAAGTGATAAATACCCCAAACTGGGCTTTGTTAAGCCCAAATTTGACTTTATTAAACACAAATCTGCATCATTCGACTGCTTCCTTTTGGTTTTTCCATGAATTTTGTCTCCATATAAAGGGAATTTATATTTTTCCTGGCAGTGAGCAGTCATTCCATGTTATGCCTATCTGTGCATGTCGTGGCCATATTTACCATTCATATCTGGGGATTTATCATTTAATCCTTTAAATAACAGGGCTTTTAATTTCTCTTCGTTGTTGAAGATTGATAAAATCGTTCCAGTTAATCTGGAATTGGGTTCTGCTGCTTGAGCACAACTTTTGTGCTGCTCAAAGGGCAAAGGCTCTTGGAGGGGATTTTTCACAGTGGATAAAAGGGACATTTGGGATAATTTCCCCTGGGGAAACATGGAGAGGTTCAGCTGCAGGGGGAGCAGCCAAGGAGGGCTGGAGCAGGAGATCCTGGCACCCCTTCCAAGGTGCCATTCCACAATTCCTGGGGTTTCCTCCCTCCTGGGTGTGCTGAGCTTTGTGCAGATGGGATTTTTCCACATTTGGGGTTTTTAACAATCCTTCCAGTTCTCCGGGGTGTAACCCCAACCTGGGCACTGTGCAGGGCATGCCCTAACCTTAATCTAAACCCGAACCCCAGTCCTGACCCTAAACCCACCCTGAGGGTTCTGCAGGTCCTGCCCTTAAACTAACCCCAAATTTTACCCTAATCCTGACCCTAAACCCACCCTGAGGGTTCTGCAGGTCCTGCCCTT